TGTGTACGAAAGTCTCAACTAAACAAATTGGTTATCTCTGCTTAGCCTTAGTGGGAAATGCACATGATCGAACACTACCAAGGCATTCGCCTAATAACCACCGACAGCAAGTTTGAACATTCTACCTCAATTAGAAGGACAGTAATTGTGTTCCAAAGTCTCAACCAATCAGATTGAGGTTATCGTGTTAACGTATTGATGTAATGAAACTATACACGACGTTTCACCGCTGTCAACCAATTAGATGCAAAGTTATCGAGCTCCAAAGTCTCGACCAATCAAATTGCTTATTGCTCTGCTTACACTGAGCTGCTTATCCTGAGAAGAAAATGCTCATTATCACTCTTACCGTGCCCAACGCACTAACCAATGAAATTGCTTATTTCTACTTACCCTAAGCAGAAAATGTTCATCTTCGAACTCCATCAATAATAAACTTTTTTCTAACTCAATTAGAAGGAGAGTTATTGTATCCCAAAAAGTGTGACGGACAGACATCCCATTTTAATAGTCCCCTGCTTTTTTCGATAGGCGAGGGCAAAAAAGAAAACGTGCACACAAGCTAAAAACGGCATACCTAGATATACCTATATTAAAATCTCGATGCATAAACCTACACATTGAAGGTCCAGTGTAAGACACTTGCTAGAATTTGTGCTCTTTAAATTAAGGATAGCATTATATTGTATTAATTAATATATCTGGCAAGTTAGTAGATTCGCATATTTGTACTTAAATCAAGTTAGCGAATGGGTGACAGATGGCTACATTAAAAAAGAGTCATAATGCGGTCAACATTCAATTCTAGGTTGATAACAGATATCTTATGGGAAGTTTCCCCAGTAAATTTCCACTATCATATAAGGGTGGGTTTCGATGTCATTTGGCTCAATTAACCAATCTCTATACTTATTACATCATATTTGACCAATTAGATAATCGAAGGTCCAAAATCCAAAGCTACAAAACTATCATATTTGTGAGCAATCGCCAGACAACAGCTTGATTCCAGAAGGGAAAAGATGTAGCAATTTCTATCAGCAGACTCGCCCATCGAGTCTGGCTGGCTGGATGAGGGTTGAGAGGATGACTTTTAAGTATTGTAATCTATACTATGCTGTGTATCCAGCTATGATATATAAAATGTAAAAGCGAACTGTTACATTGTTATTCCTGGTAAGACAAACGTCTTAAGAAAACAGTAATAAGTAAATACACAACGTGAAGGGGAAACAAAGACAACCAGAGACAAATTCTAGACGATCACTAAAATATGTAGTAAGAAAAGATGTATGGGTCGTACGTAGGATTGGCGACCGGTTTTTCCAACGCTCGCTCTCCACGTCTGACAGAAGGCCCGTGGTGCTACACCAGGAACACAATTATACTCCCTAGAACGGATCAGATTGTTTTAACCCAATCTTGGGCGAGATATCAAATTTGTTTGATTTTTTAATATGATGTCTAAAATGTCACGAAATTGAAGTTTTGGTAGTTTAAAATCGGTTAAATTTTAAAAATCTGTTAATTTTGGTCATTTCAAAGGCTGTCCCAAAAATGGGACGCTGCCCACAAGAGGGTACATGTTTTAATAAAAATATAAACAATAGCAGTGGAAATTATAATGACGGTTTAACAAAGAAACAACTAGTTTTTATTTAGATCAGGTAATTTATTTCATTTCTAATTATATTTGTATAAAATATCAAACGTTAAATAATGTAAAATCCCATGTAGGCTAAAGTCCCATTTTGCTGTATATTTTACTAAATCGCTTTAACCGGCGTTAAAAAATTACAGGTGACGGAAAATTCTTCTGGTTTATTCAGACATATTCTCCTACTTAATTTATTCTGGGGGTTGAATAAAAATATCGGCATCATTTTAAGTCGTCCTCGTCATCCAATATCCGATCCAAGGTTTCATTTATACGGAAGCGTATTGGGGTCATGCAAAATTTTGTAGAAGGCCTCGAGATCCTGCGATCCTGTGATACTTTCTCGAGATCTCAATTTAATATTCTCGAAATCCCCTAATAAATTTCTCGAGAATCTCCCATCCTGCGTTAACGATCTCGAGAATTGGAGTTAATGTTTTCGGGATCTTGCCATCCTGTGTAAATTTTCTCGAGATCTCGGGTAATTTCATGTGTGTGCGTAGTTTTAACGTATTCTCAGCGCCCCACAACCTGTTGTTTCGGAGTTTACCCCCCCCCCACCCACACACACACGTACACACACTTTCCCGAAAACCTTAATAGCTCTGAAGAGCCTACAGTTTTTAACGGTTTTGTTTCAAATTTTGTGTTTTAACGGATTTTCGATATTCAGTGTTTCGCGACAAGGATGACCCCTGTTAATTTTCAGCAATATAAGATTTCTGTCCCAGAGAGATAACAAGCAGGCGAACACGATAGAGATTAGATTTCTTGATGAATGCTAGATCCTTATACAATTTATTAAACAACCAAGTTTTCCTTTCGAATAATATGCTGTTGATGCATAGATGCTGCGTGGGTGTATCTCCACACTTTGCGTGACTATCGTTCAAATTTCTTTTGAATCATTAGTGTCACAAGCAGAGGAACCCTATTTATTTTCGGCGGAACAATGAACCTTATTGATTTGCAGCGCTCCCTGAAGTTTTGTTATGGCGTTTTTCCTATTTTCTGGTAAACCTTGTGAACGCGTTAGAGCCCAGAGTTTTTCAAGATTTTTTATTTAAAATCTGCTCCGAAGCATTTGTGCCACAAGACGATAAACTCTCTGTCTAGCTTTATTCTAAAACAAAATATAGTCCGAAAACCATGCAGAATAAACGTCACCCACACATTAAATTGAAATAATTTAACAAGCAAGTCTGTAATTCAAAGCTTTACACATTAAAGATACACAGGATGTCAGTATCTCAGGAAAATTATCAGGGGATTTCGAGAACTGAGATCTCGAGAAAATTACCAGGTGATCACGGGATTTCGAGAAAGTATCACAGGATCGCAGGATCTCGAGACCTTCCACAAAATTTTGCATGACCCCTATACGCTTCCGCACATTTACACTCAGTAACCTATAAAAATTCATGTAAAATTATACAAAACACTATCTGTGCTGTAAAATTGAAAAATTTCACTATTCGGAACTTAGCATGTACAAAATGGCAAATGTGAAAAACATGCCCTTTAATGGGCAGCGTCCCAAAAATGGGACGGACTTTATTCAGCTCACTAAAAGTAATCTATTTTGATTCTTCTTGAATAAAGTCATATTTGAGAATCTAGAACACATAACCTTTTATATGATCGTAAAATTTTCCCGAAATATATACTGTAAAAGGATTACTGACCTTTGACTTTCGCATTTTGCAGGCTGTGTCATTACGGACGCCATCTTGGAAAGGGAGGTAACTCCATGTGACTTTTTTTCTAGTCAATGTCAATTAGGCTCTTTATGTATTATACTAATACTGTTACTTTAATAATATCTTGATTTTCTTTGTTTTAATTTTGATTTGTAGGGTCGTCCCAAAAAAGGGACGCTGTCCTTTTAATTAACTTAAATAAGAGAACGTTTATATAAGTTGGAACGAAAGGCCATTCATATAAAGTTTTAAAAAACGACAAAAAATCAGTATATTCATGGACTCTACATGCCCTTTATGCTTGTCGTACTTTGCGCTTTAGAAGTTGCTAAGCTTCCATAATATATGGAAAGCTAAGAAAAAGGGCTGCATCTGGAAAAAGGGGTGACGTTTTTGTCTCCCACTAATATGAAAATTATCCGCCTGTTGGACAAACTAGTGGCGGATTGATTCGATGTGTCCTATCGACGACGTGAAACTTACATCAATATAGATCAGTGGTTCTCAACCTTTTTTGGCAACGGCACACCTTGGAATACATGAAAAAATAGCGGCACACATGGCTAAATATATATGAAAAATATTTGAATTTCGCAAAATAAAACATAACCAGTCATAGAACGGCATACAGCCATAGACATAGACTAGTCATAGACGAACTTACTTTATTGCAGTGTTTCGAATTTCATCAGTCAAATAATTGGCTTCTTTAGTGAGAAATTTTGTTAGTGTGCCTTTCAAAATTTAGCGGCACACTTAGGAAGATCTCGCCGTCGCACACTGGTTGAGAATCACTGATATAGATGGTATTTATAGCCCTTACAGGGTCAACATTTTCGGCATGACAAAAGTGTATACAATACAGAGATGAAATCCATCACATGGTTAAAAACTAAGGCGCTTATACAACCCATACAATTTTATTTCTGGCAAGGTTTTTCTAAATAATCACGGTTACGAAAAGAGAAATTTCGATCAAGATTGGGGATTCTAATGGAACAGTGGTTCTGGAATGACTTCATTAATTTCTTGGAAACAAACTGGACAAAAGTTATATTTTGACACACTTAGCATGTGTGCATTCGCTTGAGACTTGTACACGTTATTATTAATAGGTTTTAGAGCACTTAAGACTTATATCTCATTAAAATGTTCCTCATAATGTCCGACTGATGTTTTAACACCAAAAGCGGAGCGAACCATGGACATAGAAGGAACAAGATATGTTGGCGCATGTTACATGTACCTTAGTGGACTGATTTAGTTGTGTCATTTTCATGAACTCGGTGCCCTTTCACTGGACCTAGTCACAGGGATGGCTATATCAAGTTGTTCTACCCAAATTCGACGTTGTCATTTTGTGCCCTTCATCCACTATAATTGAAAAGCTTAATAACAAGAGCATATTTTGCGCTAAAGTAACAGATTTAAAGCCACAAAGTACAGAGGCATCTAAACCAGACAATCAACATGTATAGAAAGTGGTGTCTAGACGATATTGGGGTCAAATTTGTAAAAACTAGTTGGTCTGGTATGAATCCCGGTCGTTGCTTGCTGTAAGGAATAGTGATTTACTATCGTTGAATATTGAAACCCCGTGATATTTTATTTTCGGTCCTTGGGGCAAGGACATAACACAAATAATCTTTTACATACACATTTATATTAGAGTTTGTTTTTCGTCAATGTTAATACAGTGCAGTCATTAAATACATATTTTATACTTTAAACGTGTTTTTATCCATCAGAAAGCACGGGACAATCCACATGCAGCAGTAATAATCATCAGATTTCATGTTCTTCATTAATAACGTTTCCGTCTTTTTTTCTTTAACAGTTGAATATTCCAGGTTCTTCAAGCTGTGGTATTTAAGCTCGTGTTTTAAAGAAATCGACTTGATTAAAGGAGACATATCCACCATCGAACTATAATGTCCACCCTTTCTGTTAAACTTGTATTACCTGAAGAAAGAAGAAGCAATTAAGTAAATATGGACATTGCCACAGCGAAACTGGCTTTTAACATCGAGGTGATGTAAGGAGTACAACCAGGTCTGCAGTACGTAGGAATAGATACTCGCCACTCTGGAAAACGCTCCACAGGTCGTGATTCTTTTTACGAACTTGCTAGGATTGTTTGGCTAGTTTCAATGAGTTTTCACAGATTTACAATACCGTCCTTGTCATCGACACCATGAAAACACTCTACAAGTTTTAAATTAAGAAACGTCCGTAATTTACGAACCCTTTGGTGCGATCTACGGGTCCAAATCTCGGAGGGGGCAGCATATTGCAATTGAAAGTAGAAATTCAATGTCACGAAAAAACGTGATATATTCAAAATAACCTTAAATCTTCTCAAAGTCATGTTTTTATTTTATTATCTATGTTCTTCTCCCATATATTTTCAGCTCTACCCTGACACATGACCAGCGAAGAAGAGACTGGGGAAAGAGGTCGTGTCGGTAATTGTGTTTGTGGTTTTGTATTTAAAATACAATTTGCATTAAGCTTTTCTGCATAAGTACTTTTTGTTCGTTTCTTTGTCTTCTAGGTTTCTAGATTATTGTAATAAGCTATAGATTTAAATGTACCACTGAACCTAAAGTCCAATCAAATTCAAAACCCATAGTACAAAATGACAATTTTGTTGAAAATGAATAGTACACTGTATGTACCCAGAAGAGTGACTTGTCCAGCCATAGCTTCTGACACATACACGTTCCTACCATTTTATCTGAAATGCCAAGACCGGAAAACTCCACCCACCTGTAAACCTAAACGTAAATTGTAACAAATATTATATTAATTTACGTAATTACTTACTTATAATATTTGCGACAATTTCAGTTGCTTGTGGCTGGAACCAGCTACCTTAAAGAACGCCAATAGTATGTATAACGAAATTATCAGTGTAACGTTTTTATATTTCAACCACTGTTCAATTCCCTTCTACAGTTAATTCCTTTTTTGAGAATTATATTCACCCAATGCGTTGCTTATGTCATACGTAGATAAACCTTCACCTTTGTACGACTATGAAACTAAATAGTCAACATATGATGAAATATTATATCATCTCATATTGAAACCGATAATAGTATTTGGTCGATAAGTGATACAATAACCTAAACTCTTTAGATATCAACAATGTATTACGCTTGCGTGAATAAATTGTCCTTAGTTCCAGTATTATAAAAATAAATCAGGAGGGCACATGACATACTTTCCAACCAATACGTGAACTGTATGCACTAGGTAAATGCAATATTGTAATAGGCAGTTGCCTGATCATTCGCTCAAATTACAATATTAATCACTGAATTATTTTAAACTATATTTTATATAAACTACTGGGCATCCATGCGTTACTCGAAAGCCGTTGCTCAAATCCGCGCACATAGTGTCGGTTCACGTTGGGAAGAAACGTTTAATTTCTAAAACACCAGATACCACTGGTTTTTGTATTACATCTGAAATATAGGAATTGCTCCTTGAGGGGGTTTAGTATATGAAATAGATTGGGGTTTAACGTCCTACTCCTATGGGGCTAATGAGGACGGGTATACGCCATGCAGTGTGCTATAAGGGAACTTTCCTCCAGACAGCATCGCCATGGCCTACTCTTACATAGGACCTCTATTTTTCATACAAGCCGAACGACTATACGTTGTCCTTTGTCAGGCCCACCGTCTACACCACTGACGGGGGGGGGGGGGCACGCCTGAAAATCCCGATAAACTTCCTCGGCCAACACAGGGATCGATCACGGGATCTCCAGGTTAGCGAGCCAACGTCCACCAAATGATTAAAAACGAGATTAAAACTTGAAAGCGTTCCCTGAAATAGTTTTCTTTGACAAAGGTAGGATTCGCAAAAGTGCTCAAATATTTGATGTCTACTAACCATATATGCCTCCAGACATTTTAGCCCGAATCTGAATAAAATAAAATTTGGGTGTGTGACTTACAATCCGATTTACTTTTCGTTTAATGCCTTGAAGCAACATTTTCAACTCCTAGTAATTTGCAACAGAACGTGTGAAAAAAAATCAAGTTTTAGTCGATAGAGTGAAACATTTACATCTCTTTTAACTACAGCAATATATACCTTTTTGTGTACTGAGTATATACATGTATATGAATGAGAGGCACTCAAATGCTTTCGTTTTGGGCGCCTTTTAATCAGCCTATATATTATTAAATAACTTGATACAGTAATATGTAATTTTTGTTTTCAGTGTACTTGCCATACCTAGTGAATTTTTACTGGAGTATTCTAATTTAAATGTTTGTACAGCTTGTCCCTTTAATCAAAGAAATGGAATGGTTCCATTTTCCTGCACCAAATGAGCCAGCACCAAATGGGCCAGCACCAAATGGGCCAATGAAGACGGGTTTACATGTATATCATGTAAATACACGTTTTACTAGCCAGTCTACCTTAGAGTTTTTGAGAATTGTTTTATACCACAACATAGTTTTACTATGACATCCCTGTGGGCATTTGCATAAAGCCACGATCAGCAAAGTAGTTCTGTCCTCTTCATGACGTCATGTTATTTAGATGATCGAATTCCCAAGTTTAGTTTAAACATATTTTATTGACAAATATCAAAAGGATTGAGCACAAGTTTCAAAAACTTAGAAAAGCCCGAAGTCTATAGTTTCATCGGTCCACAACTTGACGGGCAATGGGTGTGACTGGTGAAGACTGTTTAAAGGCTCAATACCTCTCTTGTTGTAACTGAATAATATGTCCCAATCTTTATTCTGGTCAACAAATTGTATTATTTTACAATATTCCAATTAATTGATGATGCAAATTTCATCTTAACACACCTAATTTAAAAAATTGGAAAAATTCAACTAAATGAATCGAAAAGCCTGACGTAAAGCTTTTCAAACGTGACTTTGAAAAAATATTTTTGAACCCTCTGGACAAGTAAAATAGGATTTAATGGATAATTTACACAACAGGTAGGACACTAACACATCTAGTACTTAGAATAAGGCTATTTTTTTCTGGAGCTGTCAAACCAGCAAGAGTGTTATTGTCCCTTTAACTAGCCCCGAGGCGTTATTCTCTTGATCTTCTATTTACTCAACCGGGTTCCGCGTTCTGAATAGTTGTATTATCTCAGGACCCATGATAGATTGGTGTGTTTACACTATTGAGATTATTGCGTAGATTGCGTGGTGAAAACATAATTAACATGGTGATTCGAATGTCAATCAACGGTCTCCTAAACTTGTAAAAAGGTTACGCCCACTATTAAGTCTCGCATTCCAAAGTCTAATGCAATAAACAGGGCCTGTTTAGAACGTATTGAATATCACTTTCGGTCTAAAAATAAGTTTTATGTTTATTTTTTGATGACGTACTAATTGTACTGTACACGTAATTCGAGCTTCAAAATGTATGCAAATAAACAAAAGACTTTTGTCATGCAAATGGTCGGTGTAAAATCGAAATAATCCCCTATTTCTTTTAAGGTTTTACCCTAAGTTTAAATTTAGCAATTTCTAAGAAATCCGGCTGTATGAGACGTATCCTTGTTATTTTAACAATAGGAAATAAGAAGGACTTCAAATGAGTATAATAGGCAACGATTTCATAAATCTGCAAGACAGGTTGTCAGACACGAATTACACGTCCACCAACAAATTAATCGTCCGTTTCTGTTACACCAATATTGATAACCGGGTTTCGATGACAAAAATGGTAACTTTCATGAAGGCGCACAAACAACTCTTCGTATGTGATTTTAAATTTTAGCCCATTTGGCCTATGTCCTATACCTGTTCTTTTAACTTTTTCGCGCTCGACTTGAACCACTTGATACATTTCGACCACTTTGATAGGTATTCGGGTGGTAGGCTTATTTGGACTTGGATCAAAAATATACTACATATATTTTGATTTGCTTTTGGGGATGACAATGGATGATCTTTCAAATTTTACGTCCATAGATTAAGCCAATGCTCAGAAATAAGCGATTGTCTATTCAGTGTCGAATCATTAAGCAACAGGCTAAATTAAAATGCCAAATAGGGATACGACAAAACCATTTTCAAAATATAACTACAAACATGTACATGCGATACTCCAAATTGAAAGATTCGAAAACATAATAATAAACTTATTTTAATACTATTTTTTTTTCCAGAAATCATTTTTTTAAGCAAATATATTAGTATTTATTAAGTTAACTATTCTAGAATTTACGTTGATTTTATGTGTTGCTCTGTCTTATATATACTGTACATATATACTCGTCAAAAAAAGAGGGAGGGGATATTCAGAAACAATACAAAACTGCGGTAATGCACTGCTGTTTCTATTAGAGGTAACCAGTGTCAGTGTATGTTAATAACAGGCCAATTGCCTACACATGAACATAAACAGTTCATATGGGCGGCTTATCTGACGGCCACGTTTCACTCGCAAAGAGAGGTACACTGTCAAAAGTGAAAATGGATGTTTTTGATTTTTCTCTTAATAATGAGTAAGTGCTCCACCAATCCTCAGACATTCAGCAATTCGTCGTGGCCTGCTCCTAATCAACCGCCCAGTCACGATTTGGGGCAATCTGACCCACTCCTCTTGCAGTGCCACGGCCAATTCTTTCAGTGTTGTCGGTTGACGTCGACGAATACGCCTGTCGATCAAATTAAACTTAACACACTAAAGCAAAGATACGCTAAACAGTAAATCTTATACAAGAATCGATAGGAAAGCCAACAGGGATAGATAAACCAGCACGCGACAGTTTTCATCAATCCTTCTGTGAAGTGTCAAATTTGACAATGAACCCCTCCCACGTGTATGACGCTATTGCGTGTCGCATGTGCAGCTCAGTGGTTCTGTTGGGACGATAAGTTCTTCATCTGTGAACATACTCTCAAAGCATGTCAAGTGTCCATGACTATTTATCATATCACAACCTGCATAGGTATTTGCATTTCAATATCCCCTACTTTTTTTTGAAGAGTATATATATTTGTAATTTGTTTAAATAATTGATTTTTATACACCTATGTGCATTCCTGTATACGACATTCTAGATAAAAAAAATCCTATATCGCTTAATGTACGAGAAAGTTCTTCCTGATTGTGTTTATTTTCTGAGAAAAAAGTTCCTTTTAGATTGCCACTTCTGTGAAACCTTATAAAAAAAATCCCCCGAAAAATCCTAATTTCCGGGTAAATTTCCATACCTATATTTCTGAAAATTATGTCTTTTCATAGAAATAATACTTAGTATCGCAGAGATTTGATTTGGATATATATGTATTTCTGTACTTCAGAAGCAGGTATGTTAAGTTATGTGATTATACATATTAATAATTCAACATTTATATATTTTAAAATATAATAATAATATCTAAACATTTTCAACATTTATATATTTTAAAATATAATAATAATATCTAAACAGGCGTTGACGAACATAATCAATTTAAGAGAATGTTTATGGGTTTTATGTTGATGTAAAATGTAGAAATTTAAGAGAATGTTGATGGGTTTTATGTTAATGTAAATATAGAAAAATACAAATGTTTTATTATGTATGTAGTTTGTATGAATGTCGTTGTGTCAGTATATCTAAATGACACGACAGTTAAATTTGAAAGAAACGAGTATATTAATCAATACGTAGGAGACAATGGTGACATGACCCAATATAAAACCTTGTGGACTATGTATTCAATGTACGATTTTCCTCTGGAAAGATAGTGTGTGTGATATAGAATATATATATATTTATTAATTCATACACGTGAACGCCGAGAAATAAATACATTAAATCTGTACATGTCACTAAACTTAAACATACATTATGCAAGAGCTAAATCTTCATATTGCAGGTCTTTCTTTAGGCCTGAAACGTTATCTAAATTATTAGACATTAATTAACTTATCCAGGCCATAATCAACTCTCGATGGCATCACTAGCCTGCGATGTTAATTGGATTAGGTTCCGATTTGCTGTTCGACTTCCATTCATAATTATATCAAAAAATGGATAATCGAGACTATGTATTTTATCCTACCGACTTTAGTAATGATGATCGAGGCTAGCGCCAATATTCAATCGCTAAAATCTCGGTTCAGAGTGGATCAATTTGACTGAAATCCCCTTTACATTATCTAGTTTTTAACTATTATAGTGAGAACTGCCAGCTCTTTATCTAATCTTCCATAATGTATCTTTAACCTTAAAAAATAATTTCTACGTTA